GTGTGTGTAGTACACATGGAGGCGCGCTGAAACTCGCATACTAAATAGGTAAATGTCCTTATCAGGGTATATACGTGAGTGTATTACATGCATGTCATGACAAATATAGAGGACGTGTGCTGAAAACGAGCAGACTAGGTAGGTAAGTATTCTTATTAAGAAATCTGTGTTTACTGGCGCGTGTAGGCATAGCTACTGGCCATGCACGTATGTGCTCGTCTGATTGGTACACCGTTTTAAATTGTTTTACATATTATATTATCACTCTATGGCTTTATATACTAACACTCAAAGTCTATGGCTATATATACCAACGCTATAAGTTCAGGTATATATATATATATACACTTGCCTATAAGTCCGTGACTATATATGCTATCGCTAGTCTATAGCTATAAATCAAGTATATACATATTTTAATATATATATATACGCTCTATGGTTATAGCGGGCTTGCATGTGTAGCTGCCCATTGAGACTGCGACACCAGAAAACCCGACGCCATTGCGTCACCACCCACTTTCTCATCGCCTTATTTTGTCACACTATTTTGTCACCGCACTAATTCTTCATGTCGATCCGTGTGCCACTAGAATATGAAATTAAACGGAATAGCTCGAAGGATACGTTCTGGTGGCCGCTCGCCAAGATCGAACGCGACGTAAGTGTGTGTTTCTGTAGTGCTTCATCTCTAAAGAGTGTGTGTGGCTCAATCCGTCCACCTTATATTCAGACTCTAAACCCTAAACCTTTGGTCACACGTACCTGTACAGTGTTCACCTTACGTTCTTGCGCTCGTTCGCCAATACGATGAGAAAGTTGCGTCTATAGCCGCTGGTACAGACAGGAGAGAAACCACCGAGCCAGCTATTCTCGAGCATTTGAGGGACTTTGGGCTGGCCGATGAGTACTCAAAAGGTACGTGAGGAGTACATTCCTCTTACTATGGATAGAATTTATATATATATATATATATATATATATGTGTGTGTGTGTGTATATGTATACATATATATGTATGTAAGTTTATATATATATGTATATATATATACAGGTGATATCGAACGACTGAGTGGGGGTAGCGGTTGTTTCCTAGTTGGTGCTGTAGCTATGTGGAATTATCGTCATATTTTCTGCTTATACGCAACGTCACACCAAACATAACACATTATACGTATCATGTTTTGGGGTTTTAGTGTGTTAGGGTTTTTGTGTTTTAGGGTTTTAGTGTTTTGAGTGATATTATACGTATCCGGATAGACTCAGTATATGCTACAGACACACACTCGCACCACACACCACATCGTTCATACCTACACACACACATACACAAATT